TTGTGAAAATATCACCAATTATTAATTAAAGTATCCTCTTTTTAATGCAAAAAGCCGTTTTGAAAAATCACTTTCAGTTCTTGAGAAATACATTTTTGAAATGATCGACAATTTTATTGGAATTTAATATCCTTGCGATGCTGTGGGTTACCCAAGTTATTTTACAAAAAACTTTAATTTAGTTTCTCTCTATATAATTTTGATTTTATTTATTTGATTTAAAATTATTTGTTAATCCAAAGATTTATACCCAATAACAACGTTAATTACGTTGTATATAATTAATAGCAATGCATATTGAATTAAATTACCCTTACAATATGCAACTACGGTTAATTCGTGAATGGAGAGGTTAGACCTAAGGCAATAGGGTGATACCTCTGCCCTTACCGAAGGGGATTGTGGTGGAATAATTAAATTATGAGAAACTACTTATAAACTGGTTTAGCATTCAGGTTTCAAAGGACGAATCTCGCTTTAAACTTTCCCATGTAATTACCGGCCCACTCGGAAATGTAATTTTTTTGTCCCTACGCTGAATATAACATTTGCAACATTGTTTACCGCTTATAGTCGGGTTTCCACTAGAGTCAACAATTATTCTCTGACCTAAATTAACACAGGCAATATCACTGACGATTGGGTTTCCATGTTGACGTAAATCGCAACGATTGTTTACGGTAAACTAGGCCTGGTAATAATTTTCTAGGTAATGAGATATCAAATCAAAAACGAATCCGTAAACATTGAACCCCATTCCGAGACGTTCCTTTTTGGTAATCGCTCCGTGAAAGAGAAACCGAGAAGTTACGTAAACCGAAGCCGTTTCGAAGGAAGAGAACGCAGCATACACCTGCCGAGCTGTGCCTCTTTCCTTTTTTAATTATGACACGACGTACTTGAACATTATATAAGTTATATAATGGTTATGTCGACGCTATGTGAAATATTAATGGAAAGAATTTATTACTGTTGAATACTTATAATTATAAAATCAAACATTTATTATATTCATCTTTGATTTGTTTAATTAATTCATTATCTATTAATAAAATAACAATCAATTTAAGTTATATGAAGTTATACTATCATTCGAACTAACAAAAGACCAAGAACTAGAATCATTCGGGTTTAGCCGTCTTGAGAGACGTGCGGCTAAATCCGAATGTTTCTAGTTCTAGGTCTAATGTTAGTTCTAGTTTTAATTGTTATTCAGTGTTAGATTGTGGTATAATTTTATTAAACGAAAAGTAGAACTAACACTTAAGACAGAAACTCAGAGTTGTCATAAGCACGTCACCTTCTCCAAGCAAAACTTTTCCTTTGCAAAACTGCCCAATGCCTGTACTATTAAGTTATGTTACATTCTATGTGGGACAGTTCAAGTACATAATAATTTCGTAACTATGGTTACAGCATTCATATATTACGAGTTATATGAAATTCCTGGTACATTCGAGATATTCGCTTACCTCGCGTTAAAAGGGCCACACTCTTTCTCTCTCTATATGTTAATTTAATTAAAACCAAACATAATTGTTCCGCGAATTCACATAAAACGCTTTTCTTCGAAGCTGTGTAAAAATGTGATCGTAAATTTCTAAGTGGGGTGGACTAAATTCAAACATTGGTGATAGCTATCAAGTGAGAGTGTGGGTGTGCTTCTCCAGCAAACAGTTCTTGAGTGTTTACGGTCAGAATTCGGTTCGGACTCTCAATGGTTCTGAACTGCAACAACCAGGTCGGCAGAAATACTTAATGGATTCTGCGCAGGCGGAATTCGTACCATTGAAGTAGTCGATACCGCTTTGTGACGTCACCACTGCGGATCAACCGAGACTTTTGAATAAAATCGAATCTAAACCTCCCCCTTTTTGGGTACGTTTCAAAAAAAAATTTTAAAATAGCTTCATTTAGCTTTTAATATAATCCTAGATTAATTTTATTTTTCTTTGTACATGTTTATATGAAAAGAATATTTGTAAGCTCTCAGTTTATATCGTAAAATTAGATAGTTAGTGAGATTCTTTTATGAACGAAAACGTTTTGTTTTTGAGAGTTTTGTGTAGATGCCGCCTCGTACGTATTGCGTGGTCGATAGGAAAGCCACCATAGAGAGCTTGAAGCTCAGTAGCAGAGCGAGCGAAAGCTCGTGCACACGTCTTCTAAAGCTCGGCGCCATCCGATTGGCACACGGTTCCGCGCCTTCGCCAAAAATGTGGCATCGTATCAACTGTTGATTTTTTCACAAAATCTACCAGTATGTGAAAGAAAACTACCAAGATTCAATTCGTTTCCAATCCGATTTTGAACGATATTTCACGGAGATACAACAAACAGGTACGAGCTGGTTTCGATTTTTGCCCACTTTTTTTCTCATTTAGCAAACGCTATATCGCTTCAACGCCCTATTTATTATATCAAAATTCGACAGAAACAAAACATTAATTAAAAAATTTAAACGAGAGTTTATTTACATTTTTTTTTTTTATTATTTTAGAGTATACTTAAAATTATCGATTAAAATGGAAATTAAAAAAAAATGTTTCGTCTCCCCATTGTTCCCTGAACGCTTTATAAAAGAAGGGCTTATAACGGTAGGGTTGTCGATGCAACGTCGAAACCCAGTTTCGTCGGCGCAAAGACAATGAGTCTTTGTTTGAAACTCGAGCATCGCAAAATAGAGAGCGTATTAGTTTTGAAAAAAAGTATACACAAAAAGAATATGTAGAAGGCGTTTACCACACCACATAAAAGGTAAAAGAAAGTGGGAAAAATGTCGGTACGCTTTTCGTGTTACATTGAGATGTGAATAGAGACAGATTTGAACGAGTACAACCTGTTAAACGTTTGTAACAACGGCTGGCGGAGCCCCGAGTTTTGGTCACAGACACACGTTGGGGGGTCGTGACGAAATTAGAACGATTATTGATTTTTATCAAAACGTGGTGTACCATCTATAACGATACTGAACCTGGACACAAAACTATGATTTTCTCTTATTTTTCTAACGTTCCATTCTCTTCAATGAAACGGTATTCATTCATTAATAAGCATTGATTTGATTAGATACTTGAACAAAGTATCTAGCAATCATACAAAAAGGTGTATTTCAGAAAATCGTAGAGAGTCATTTCTCTAGAGTTGATCGTTTTCGTTCTTAGAGTCTTCATTTCTGATTGCACTTCCGATGAATGAAGTAATTTGCCAATAAAAATAACAAAATTTGCCAATTGAAATTAAAAAATTTCCCCTCAAATTATCGTTCGTTTTCAAGGCATTTCAAGTCAACTCTCATTGAATCAAATCAATTCCAAAGCAGCAAATCATGTTAACAATCATCAATGTCATTCAAAACCAATTTCTATTATCTGTAGTACTTATAAACAGATAAGTGGTTCCAAAGCAGGATTGCTGCACAAATATTATACTTCTATATGTATATGCCTTCCAGTGTACGGTTTTTTTTTACTATTTCAATACTTAAGAACAAATTTGTTCCATTTGCCATCATTTTCATGATTTGGCCCTCTTTTTAAGAATCTTTCCTTTCACGGCGTACCAGGTCTCCTTCTGTCATCTTCTTCCTCTCCTGATCTGCATCAGTGCCTCCTAAACTTGTTTTATTTGCCGTTCTCCGTTAAGTTTGACTAGATATCTTCACCTCAAAATGTTCTTCACTCTCAGTTCTTCTCTGACCTTTTGATTTCTAAGTCTATCTAGTCTTGATTTTGTAGTTGGATCTTACTTTCGTCCTTTTTTGTAAGTATACATGACTCGTTTCCATAGATCAATATTTTTCTCCACCTGAAGAGCGAATCGGAACACCTGCCGCAGTTTACCCTTATACTTTTGAATGTTGCCCAAATTCGTTTTGGTTGGCTAAAACTTTCTGGCTTGGTTGTAACACATGACATACTCCGGTTACTAGGCGCTGCACTCTTCTCTCAATCTCCTCTCTTGTACTCAATTATTTTGAAGTTATTGTCAAGGCAAATGCAAAGTGGGGACGGAGCACAAGATTGGCGTTAATCTTTCTTTCTAACAAGAGTGGAGCATAGAAAAGTGACGTGTGGAGGAGCTCTATGGCTCAGTCCAGGCAACCAGTAAGTGATTTTGGTGACTTTAGACAATGTTTCAAAATTGCCAAAAAATAGAAAATGCTTATTGGTGTGAGTTAAAATGATTCAAATTAAATATAAACAACTTAAGGCTATTTGAGGAAGATTATATGTTTATTTTCTCTCTTGTTACATTTTCAGCTTTGGTCCTGTTCTATTTCTGTACATTCCAATAGATCTTGGAAATACTCTTTCCACTTGATCATCACTTTTCTTCCAATCTTCATAATTTTTGCCTTTTCTTAGTGTACTTAGAACTTTATAAATTAACTTCTGGTTACTTCTCAAATCCGTTCATATTCTATTTGTATGAATATACGAGGAAATAAATGATAGTAACTATGCAAAAATCTAACACTAATTAATAAAGCTCAAAATATTTTAATAATCCATATTAATATTAAACGTGGAATAATTAAAAATCATGAATATTTTACACAATGATTATGATTAGCTGGCGGAACGTAAAATGATCCACTATATATGCTAATTTTTCAATCCCCCTTAAAAGAGGGGATTGGTAATTTATAGTGTTGCCAAATAAACGTCAACGCAACAATGATTTTACTTGTTGCGAGTTGCTCGTGCGGATAGCGAGGTGAAATACGCGAGTAATAGTTTAGAGTTGAAGGGAAATTGGAATGCAGTTTCCACGAGACCATCGTCCTCCCACTATTGGCCATCTCACTACAATTCTTCCTACGCTATTGTCTTTGTTCGACAATTGTATTTTACTACCAGGATTTTTCCTTTATGGGTCACCACACATGATTGATCATGTTTTGCCATGTTTCATTTTCAGTCCAGTTTTATTTAAAAACTTTTTTATTTTTTCTTTTATTGCAGGATGAAACTGGGCAATATGTGGTCTGCAGATCGGCAGACGTTGAAACGAGATGGTCTCGTCCTTTTTAGTAAACTTATCAGAACCAAAAATGTCGAAAACTTCCAAGAACAAACAAAACCGCACATGGCAGACGATAGAAAACAAAAATTATCGGTACGTAAAAACGTTTTCCCTTTAAATTGAATTGAAGATTTTGATAAAACTCTGCTTAAAACATTTAGTCCATAAATTCCCGATGCATTTCTCCCCCCGATGAAAACCAGAGAACTGGGGCAATCTTTTCGTTCCATCTCTTGCTGCGTTCTCTTCTTTCTCGATAGGCACGCTCGGGATGAAATTAATTTGCCGTCGACGGGCGAAAGAGTAGAATGGAAGGGTCGAAATTGGCACGACGCTCACGTCTCTCACCCAGACGCCGCCGTCGTTAAGATATGAATTGCTTTCCCAATATACCAAACCCCCGGTTTTCTACAGCAAAACTTATTTCTCGCAACCACTCCATCTCGCTCTACCCGTTAACGTGCAACCGCTTTCGCTTAATTATTTCCCGATATTTTACCCTCTAGAAATGTTTGACGACGCTGGACTTGACATCTTTGGGTGTTGGGAGTTGTGTTGGTACCGGAATGTATTTAGTGGCGGGAATGGTTGCTCGAAGAGTTGCCGGACCCGGTGTTGTGATTAGCTTTATTATTGCTGCTATAGCTAGTATATTTTCAGGTAAAAAATTTAGCACCAATTTTCCAACTTCCTAAAAATATTTTATTCTCATTTTTTAGGTGCTTGTTACGCAGAATTCGGTGTTAGAGTACCACACACAACCGGATCTGCATATATGTATTCCTATGTAACCGTTGGTGAATTTGTAGCCTTTGTAATAGGTTGGAACATGATTTTGGAATATCTAATAGGAACGAGTGCGTGTGCGTGTGCTCTTAGCGCGTGTTTTGATGCGTTAGCAAATGGTGCTATAACAACAGCGGTAGCTGGAAGTGTAGGAAGAATTTTTGGAGGTAAAACTTTTATTTACCGAAACCCAATTAGTTTGTTGAGATGAAGAGGAGCGTTTTAGTTTGCGAGTGAAAGATAATTTAATATTAATTTTAATGCCTAGGAGTAGCTTTCAGTTTTCCTAATTGCCTAGTAATTAAATATTAATGCAAAAACGTATCTTGAAACAAGATAAATTTGTAATAATTTAATTTTGAACTTTGAACTAATTCATTTAATTTTCAAAAGGTTATAAAATCTTTAAAGATTGTCTAAATTTAAAGTTGCTTAAAAGGTTCAAGTATTGATTTTACTTGAACTAAAACTATAATTAACACTAACACTAGATTTAGAACTAGAAACTTTTGGGTTAAGTGCAAAAGTGTTTCGAAAAGGCGATTTACTTTTGCCAATAGTTGGGTTGGTCAAAAATGTTATACTTACACTTGAACACACAGAGGACATCGAGCATAAGTTTCTTATTGCAAAATCTCATTTATTGTACCCCATAAGCCATAATACCTGCAGCTAATAAGTTCCAATCGTCGATGTCCCACGATCCTAACTAGCTCTTTCTTTGCCTCTATCTCATCCCTTCTTTCTGCTCTCGTGCTATCCATACATTCTTGATACAGACAGACTCTAGACAGAATGCTGTAAGGAGTCGTTCCGAATCCACAGATACACACTCCATTCTTACTTCTTAACCTAAACCATCTAAGATGCACACTAAAACAAAATGATGCAGTTGTGGGAAGTATGACGTTGGCTAAACTGGACGTAACATCGACTGCTGCGAGAATTGCCACAAAAAGAGAACCACGAGAACCAAGAACCAAGAGATGTGATAGAACATAAGAATCTTAACATGGCTTACGAATCATTAAAAACTTTTTCAAAAAATGCAGCTTAATTCGAAAGTTTCTAAGTCTAGTATTAGTTCAAGTGATAATGATAGCGTACTTATATTGATTTTAATTACTTTTGTTTTAGAAAATCCACCTGATTTTCTAGCATTTGTTATTACATTATTAATGATGCTACTTTTGGTAGCTGGAGTAAAAAAGTCTTTAATTTTCAACAATATTTTAAACGCTGTAAACTTGGCCGTTTGGGTTTTTGTTATGACGGCTGGTTTATTTTACGTAGACAGTGATAATTGGTCGAAGCACAAAGGATTTCTTCCTTACGGATGGTCGGGGGTACGTTTTTAAAATTTACAAACAACATAATAAAAATCACAATTTAATTGTGTATTCGCAATTGGGGTTGGTTTTGATTAAATGCATCGCGCTGAATCCACTATTTGAATACGTAAATGTGATGTAACGTATAATTTTCCCAGTAAATTCATTTCAATTTAATTTCAGTATTGTTTACGTAGTAAATGTAAATTTGTTACACAAAATGCTTGATGTTATTATTTACGGTTATGTGATTGGTATGCAAAAATATTTTAAAATCTGAAATAAATTGAATTTGCAATTTTAGTTTAATTTAAAATAAATAACAAAACCAACCCTGCAACAAATTCTATGGTTTTTCTTGATTAATTAATTTGTAGGTATTTACTGGTGCCGCAACTTGTTTTTACGCCTTTATTGGTTTCGATATCATAGCCACAACTGGAGAAGAAGCAAATAATCCAAAAAAATCTATACCACTCGCTATAGTATCCAGTTTAGTCATTATTTTAACCGCATATGTAACTAGTTCAATGATACTAACATTAATCGGTAATATTAACTAATTAATACCAAAAATTTACCTTAAAGCTTTTATTTATTTATTTAATTGTAGTTCCTTATAATAAAGTAGACGAAGATTCAGCACTTGTGGAAATGTTTGGACAAGTTGGTGCTTACAAATGTAAATACATAGTTGCCGTTGGTGCTTTAGCTGGTTTAACAGTTAGTATGTTCGGTTCTATGTTTCCTATGCCACGTATTGTTTATGCAATGGCATCAGACGGGCTTATTTTCAAGTAAAAACAATCTTACAGAAATCTTCGTTTCTTTTTAACATTATTTTTATTGAACAGAATATTTTCTCAAGTTTGGCCAAGTACGGGAACACCAGCTTTAGCGACATTTGTTAGCGGTTTATCAGCAGCGTTAGCAGCTCTTGTAATAAAATTAGACATCTTGGTTGAAATGATGTCCATAGGAACTCTTTTAGCGTACACCTTAGTGTCTACTTGCGTTTTAATATTACGATATCAACCCCACTCGACAAATCTAGTCGAGTTATTACCTCAAAGTTTACGAACACCATTACGAGGATCGCCGACACGAGAAGGTTTAGAAAGAGGCACAAATTTATACGGAAACCAACTTCCACATCCGGATGCTTTAAAAAATGCTTTGGATGCAACTTTAGGACCGTCTGGTGTACCATCGCCGTCTCCGATTCCTTCTCAACCAACACAAAGGGTCATGGTGAGAAGAATTACGAGAAGGTAAAAATAATTTTTATTTAAAATAATTTATACAGGAATATAGAATTTGTGGGATCCTCGTACTTTGCGATTTTGGTTGTTAGGTCGATCACACTTAACTCATTTTTCAGAAGGAGCTGTGTCCCTCGAGACACCTCGAATACACAACTAAACACGAACACTAGGTACGTAGAATTCTTTAGATATCTGGGAGGAAGATGTTGACCCTGGTTGTTTTTATTATTAAAAAATCCGTAGCTCAACATACATCATGTATTATCTTTTTAGATGTTGTCTTTGATGTGGTGTTATTGTTATATCCTCTCCGTAATACACTTAAATCGTCAATCCATAGGTGTGTCTCTCATTTATCAACTGCACCTGCATACTTTTTGTGTCTAACCTCAAATTAAAGCATTTATTTCATGTTTTAATTAATTTGTGTGTTTTAATTTTGTTTAGTTCCCCAGATAGCGATGAAACATTTCCTGGAGATGAACAAGAGGAAGATTTTTCTATGCGCGATGATCAATTTTTAGTTTCTGATAGAATGGAAAATAAATTTTATGGTAATACATTTTCTTTTTATGCATGTAAAGTTGCATACATAATCAGGCATAGATTCAGAAGAACCAAAACTTACTTAGAACTCCAAACCTATTTCATTCCTAATTCAGAAACGTTTTTTTTTTCACTTTTTCCTTAATGATTCAGGTACTGTTCATGGTGGAGGTGCTAGTGCTGCTAGTACTGGTGGTGTTGTTGGTGCCACAGTTGGGCCAAGTCTTGGATACATTGGACGTAGATTACAAGTAAATGAATCAACAATTTGTCTTTTGTAATCGTCTTATAAAATCAATTTTAGGCTGCAACTTATTTATGTCCAGCGATTTTTCCGTGGGTCGATACAGGTCCGGCAACTGAAGAATCCGGAATGTTCGTTATGAAAATGGTTGGAATTCTTTACTTGCTAATTTTTATATTCGATTTGATCATCGTTTGTGGGATGCATAACATGACCGGAGCGACAACTTTCTTCATGTTCCTCTTTTTAATACTAATCATAGCTGTTTTAATGGCGATTTCAAGAAAGCCTCAAAATAGGTAAATTTTCTAATTTTGGTTTTATTGCCTAATTAAAATTATTTTATTTTTAGAAACACATTAATGTTTATGACTCCGGGGTTACCGTTTGTACCAGCAATAGCCATAACCGTTAACATCTACTTGATTTTAAAACTTTCTGTTTTAACATTAGTCCGATTTACAATTTGGATGACTCTCGGGTTTATAATGTATTTCTATTACGGAATCAAGAACAGTACATTACAAGACGGCGATTCAGATCAAAATATCGAATTAACAGTCACGGATATTGAGAAACCGAAATATACGGAACCCGATCAAAACATTTACAGTCAAAATCAAATGAATTATCAATGGGATCCGAACACGGCGTGGAGCCAAGATGTGAACGATAGTTGGACTTCATCTCCGGCTGCCCCAAATCAATGGACAGGTCAATATTTTAGCGAATCCCAAACAAACGTGAAACCGGTTGTTAAAAATGCAACTCCAATGCATCCTAAACAATCTGTAAGACCTCCACCTCCACCCCCGAAACCTCCCTCACGACTTCCACCTCCCGCTCCAAGTCCCGTAGGACGGACCGCGCCTCCCGATCGTGGTAAAACTACCGCTTCCGGATTATTTGTTAACGAGACCGCATTCCCCACGTGGGACGATTAATCGTAGGCGAAAACCAAAGAAAATTATACCCACGTGTTGTTATCGTTCAATACGAACGCACCATATCGAATATTTAAGAATAAAAAAAAATAACTTAAGAGATTGTTATCCATATAATACTATAAATATTATTAATACTGTATAGTTATTCTATTCTGAATTTTTTAATTTTTTATTAATACAGTAAAACTCGATATAACGGACAATCTAACGCTGAATAACAATTAAAACTAGAACTAACGCTAGACCTAAAACTAGAAAGTTTCGGGTTTAGCAGTACATCTCTTAAGATGGCTAAACCTGAATGATTCTAGTTCTTAGTCTAGCGCTGCTTAAAAATTAAAACTAGAACTAACACTAAACCTAGAACTAGAAAATTTCGAGTTTAGCCGTGCTGAAGACGCACGTTAGATTCTTATGTTAGAAATTTGGGGTTGAGCACAATCTTTAATAAGTTTAATTTGAGCTGCAGCTTTCTGACCATGTCTAAAACAGCAAATATTGTTAAAAACTCCTTCTGCCATTTCTTATTTCATTAGAAAACCACTTTTCCATAATTTTTTGCAAATTTGGGGTTGAGCAAAATCTTTCATGAGTATAATTTCAACTACAGCTAATTTCTCATCATGTCATTTAAAAAAAATACTTTTGCCTTATCTTATTTCATTACAAAACTAGTTTTCCATGATTTGTATCGTATAGACAACTCGGGGAATACCTCGAGTTTATCAATGAACATGGAATAGCACAACTTGAGGTCCGTTATATCGAAGTTTTATTGTACCATTTTTTTAGTTAGAATAAATGTAATAAAATGTACGCGTAATTTAATTTTTTTTTGAAGAGTAGAATTGTAATCGAAATTATTTTGTTCCTTATGAAATTAATGTGCTTTGCTAAACGATCCAAAAATTTAAAAAAAATGATAAAGTAGTATTTTCCGGAAATGAAAACTTATATAAATAATACTATGTCTCTGTGTTAAGTTAACAAGAATTTTGTCGTTTGGTAATTATTTCTATGAAAAGTGCAATATTAATACAATACCAAAAAAGTGCGAAAACACCAAGTATAAAAATGTAAATAATTTTTGTAACCAAACGAATAATCTTGATAACTTAACGCTGTAGGGTGTTTTAAAGTTGAAGCATTCATTGCTTGAATAAATGCCTCGACTTAAAAAAATCTTGTAATCCACAAAAGATAACGAAGATGTAAACACAAACATATTCTAAAAGATATCAGATTTTTAAAACAGGTATAAATATTTTTTCTAATATGTTAGAAACAATATAATAATAGAAACTTAAATAACTATCGAGTTCCATTATAACACAGTAAATAAAAATCTCTAAAAAAGGAGTAAATACAAATTTATTAGAATTAGAAATCTATACGAAGATGTGTTTTTTCGATAATATTATTATTAATTATTAAATATTCTATAAGAAATAAAGATTAAAGATTTCGGTGATAAATTAAAGTGCACAATTTATACGGTAGATTGTAAATGTTGAATAAAAAAAGTATATAATGCACCGCACGTACTGCTCCATGCGCCCACAAGAGACGAAGTGAATCGGCGATATTGTGATGAAACATGTAGCAAAAATCATAAATTAGTTTTCAGAACGGTGGAAGTCTGAAGTACGAATTTATCGATTTTTAAGAAAAAAATTTTAATGTGAACGGTCATAATTTTTTACTTGTTAGTAGAAGAGAGACCTTTAAATTGATATGTCGACTCTAAAAACAAAATAAAAAAAATCTTTCCGTACCGTAAGTCTTAGATAGGGTTTTAAATTTCAAAATCATTACGAAAAAGACCCACTTTCACGGCAGTTGCGGTCCAAATCGTAATGCACTGCGAAATAATAATTTTTGCAGTGGAGGTTGTAAATAAAAAAAAACATCTTCAGTATAACGTATAATACATTTTCAAATTATTAAAAATTATACTATTTATTATGTCATCATATCACGGGAGTTGTACCAAAAAATCCATTCGTTTTTGTTTTCTATGTTTTGCGTTTATTTACAGCATATGAAGCAAAAGAAAATTAAAAAAGGCGAGTCCTAATTACACTGACTGATATTTATTATACACCGTTAATAATGAAATGTTGCCGAGATTAAATTGTAAATTTTACCAGTGCCTCGGATAAATCTAATTTAAATTAATGAATTAATAAGAATGATTATGAAACTCCCAATTGATAAAAATTGTTTCCAATCATTTTAATGTAAAGATTTTAACCGATTTAAGTTTAAACCATCCTTCACCAGATGAAAATATATGAATAATCATGAGATATGTTGATGTTAACAGACTCTTCCGGTAACAAAATCTAGATTTAAGTATGTTTTAGATATAAAGAATATTTCAAACTATTGAATGGAAATACATAATTTCAGCATTCATATTTTGTATATTTTACACCTTATTTATCCTAAAACTGATTCATTCCTCTGGATTTAGCAGCACGTCTCTCAAGACGGCTAAACCCAAATGATTTTTAGTTCTAGCTCTTGTATTAGTGATAGTGCTAGTGTAAAATGAGAACTAACACTAGACCTAGAACTAGAAACATTCAGACATGTTGCATTTTATAGTGATAGTGCTACTATTAGTTCTAGTTTTAGTTTAATAAAAGTAAAGCTCATCTCCAACCCTGAGTCCTAGGATATTTCGGAAATAACTAAAGAAAAACGCCACAGGGGAAGATAGAATCACTAACGAGATGTTAAAGAAGGAGGGAACAATCCTAGAAGAGGCACTTTATGTGCTTCTTAACAAGTGGCTTAACAAAGGTACGATACCAGACACATGGCAGAAGTCATCTTACTCGTATTAATAGATCAACTTAGGATTGGGTTGGCTCTGCGTGGTCTGCTTGGCTCAGAATACTCTCTCTATAGAGATATGTCGATTCGAACATATCAAACTTGATACATCTAACAACAATTAACTCAAGAATTAAATAATATGGATGAGAATGAGATAGATAAAAATTGTACATAATATATACATTATAAAATAAAGTCTCTAAAAAGTTTTTATTGGGTTTTTAATAACTTATTTTTTTATTGAGCCTGAATACACTCTTTGTTACTAACCATGTTGATTAGAAAGTGAAGTAAATTAGAAAATAAAATTATGACAAAAATGCCTCTCCTGTAATCATTATCTTAACTGCGTCGAGAAATTAAACTTTATTTGTTGACTCTTTGAGTATGTGTTATTGTATCAGCGGCGTTCTGTCATCTCATATTTCACTCTCAGTTCCCATCGAGATTAGACTTCTGAGAATGCCGGTAATGAAGTACAAATATCGGGCGGAAATAATTAAAATTTTTGAGCGCCATATTCATTAGGAGAAGAAAGCAACAATGTGGTTGATGCACGATCTCTTAAACAAAAGGATTGTTTTGATCGCGCTTTCAAATTAGTTATTATTAAAAAGAAAAAGCAACCTCTCCAGCAACTATATGTAAAATTTTGATATTTCGAGAGAGTTTAGAATGCGACGTTGTGAGATAAAACAACAAACGACAAAAAGTCTTCGACGTAACTTCAGTAAATATGTGCACTATTGTGTATAGCTGGTATTTTAGGTTCTATGTTGACAGAATATCACCCCAGGGCAGTCGCATGGCGGCCAAATAAATTTCTTTTCGAGTGAGAGAAGATGTTAAAAATGCTAACAATGAGTGGACAAATATTTAACTGTTTGCGGATATTAATAAATCGGAAAGTAAGGCTGCAAAACGTAAACATCGAGAAAGTTTCGTACAAATCCTTATCTAAAAGTAATCGCCCAAAAATACAATTTTGTTGTAAAAATGTGTAACTTGTGATAAATAAATTTCAATAATTATTTAATATAATTTAACGTTTATTACCATATTTAATAGCATTAACAGTTTCAGTTTTTTGTAGTCTTTTTAAATTTTTATAATATCCAAGTATTGGTAAAACAAGTCCATGTTTTTCTTAAAGACCTCTAAAGTTTTACAACTTATGTTTCCTTTACAACATGACTTTCCTTGTTCCTTGTTCCATGTCTTCCTTTTGATTTTTAGATGTTTGATAACTTATTCTGACCGACTTATCTTATAACATAGAAAGAGCTGCAATGTCTGACAACGATTTCCAGAAGACACCAAAACAACCAGCTTCTGACAATTTGAATAATAATCATAATTATTTACAGAGCTAGATCTGAGAGGAGAAGACGCTGCAGGTTATAGCAAGACAACAAGCTAACAGTACACAAATATCGGGTTACTAGAACTCTGGATCTGAAAAAAATACAATGAGTTGCATCATACTGAACTTGGGAGAATAATTTACTATTCAATTACTGAGCATTAATTGATTTTAATTAACTCTATATTATTACTACGTTCGTTGCAGTGACAGAGAAGACAATATACAATCAAAATACAGTGAGTTAATCAACAATACTTATAATCTTGATGAATCATACAAAGAATCGTCGTCAAATAAAAAGATACTCTCAAAGTCACAATATCTTATAAAATCAATTTCGTGGGCAAGCAACTAAATTATTTATTTGATACCGGGTCAACAACGGGTCAACAAAGCAATAAACTCCTTTGCCATAAACAAATTAATTAACATTCTCCGACTCATCCAGCAAGTATGTAGTTTTTTTCCGACATTTTCTTAATTTATTTTGTACCACATCATGGTATGAAACTAAATTAATTAATAAATTATAATAAAAATGATTCATTAAACTGAAAACTAGATTATGTCCACATAAAATAGAAAGAAAAAAGCTTGCATAATCCCAATAGGCTTTTCCCAGCTCCACTTTGTTGTGAATCATCTGGTTTTAAGAACAGGAAAAGGTAATCTCACCATACTAACAAAGTGCTGCACCTATTATTTAAACAATCACCACAGACTTTAACTTTACTTAGGTCGTAGTCGGTTAATTAGCTTTCAGACCAGCCGATAGGATCTGTAGAAATGACATCGCTAAGCGATGTCCAAAATCCTAATATTTTTGATTTTCTTCTCAACTCTATGTTTAATCAACGCAGAAATATCGCAGTAAGTTTTAATATAATTTTATCTCTTTCATTATTTTTATATTTTTTAGAACCAACGTTACTAAAACCGCAATAAAACGTAAATCATTAATCCCACTATTATACGATTCAACTTTAAACAACATAAATGTTACTAAAGTAGCAAATTGTGAGTGGTTAAGAGGGTATAAACACCAACGTCAACAATGCTTAGTAAGAAAAGGGCTCGAAAAAGTTTTAATAGCAACAAGAAAATTAATAATTTCGATTTGCCAACAAAGTTTTAAATACGACACTTGGAATTGTACTTACAGCAAAAATCAATTTAAGAAGATAAACAGAGAAACGGCGTTTCTACAATCACTTTCAGCGGCGGGTTTAATGTTCACCGTTACGGAAGCATGTTTAAACAAAAAATTGCAAAGATGTAAATGCGATGAGTCGAAAGAGTACTTCATTAAAGTACCTGATTATAAAAACTTCAGCGGATGTCAAGATAATACAAAAACAGGAAAAGTTTTAACGAAGAATTTTCTAATGGCTCAATATTCCGGGAAAAAAGCAACCACAGCAAATTTAAATGTCAAATTTGGAATTAAAGTTGTTATGGAAAGTGTTAAAATCCACTGTAGATGTAGTACTTCAGTTTGTAAGTTAATTTTTGATCATAGCTATTAAGTTTTGCATACATCAATTTATACTTTAATTTAAAACTTTATATTAACTCTAGATTTTTTTAAATAAGTACTTTTTTAGTTTCTTGCAAAAATATATGTGAAAAACGACTCCAACCTTTTAGTAACATCATGGAAAAATTAAAATTAGCGTATCACAACGCCATCAAGTTAAAAACGAAACATTTAACGTCTGGTTCAAAGTATAAATTACCGAAAGATAGATTACTGTACCTCAGTGATAGTTCAAACTTTTGTAACTCAACCGCTGGGAGGCGCTGTTTAGATGCAGAGAACTGTGCAACTTTGTGTTGCGGACGAGGATTCAATAGCAGAACTATTACAGTACGAAAAAAATGTAAATACAGACTTGGAGAATGCTGTTACAAAATAACCCACGAGATCTGTACTCAACAAGAATTTATTTATGAATGCAAATAATGTTTTTTTTTCAATTTATGTTGGTTAAAGTGTAATGAAAAAATTAATGATTTGAATGAGATGTAATTAATTTTATCATATAAATAAAAAGGTAATTTTTGTATTATCATGACAAATATGTTTATAAAGGTAGTTTAGAAATTATAAGTATCTGGTGTTGTTTATAAGAAAAAAAATAAGTAAAAACGCAGTGCCAACTTTAAAATATTTGTGTGCCAAATCTTCAAATTTAGACGCACGCCTTTCCATCATTTGAAAATAAACTCTGTCTTAATATATATATATCCTGATTTCTTCTAAAAACATTATTGTTATATATATTTAAAAAAATTAAGATTAAAGTATCAAAAAATTATATATTAATTGGGTTATTTATGACTATGTCAATTAAAATGCAAATATGTAAGAGACTATGTTGATTAGAAGTATGTAGAATCACTGAGTTTTGGAGAAAGATGTATCTTAGAAACTGTTCTAACCCAACCCAATTCAATCCAACCCAACCCAACTTAACCAGACATCTGGTCTTGTCGTGGAGGACCAAGTAATGGTAGGTTGAAGGCCGACCAACTAAAAGGCTCTTTCCTCAAATCTCCACGAGAAGACTGAATAGAGGCTTGATATTTATACCTTTCTTCTTTCCCATCACGTATAATAACAATAATATAGATAATAGATTCAGTAATCTCCTAACATCTTTCCCCAATCTTTTTCCTCGTTGTCCAGGAGCTCAATGACTTCCAGATACTAATATATTTCGTCAGCCAAAATCAATATTATGATTTTCTACCTTGCATATGGCAGACAGATGTGTTGTGGTAAAAGTAAGTATTCTAGTCACATATTCTGACATGGAGAGCGGATTATTAAGGGGCCTGAGTTATGGGTGAGCAGGCGGATTTCTGCGTGTTATCAGTTTTTATCCAATCATTTTTACCCATATCTTGCTTGGCTTTTGCAGACCTCGGAGTAACCAAGAACGAGTTCTTTTCCACTCTTAACTAACATTGATGTGAGCAATTTAATTCTCACATTAACAATAGGATGTCGAATAGAATTCATTTAGAATCTTGATAATTTATTTAATATAGAACAAAATTTAATGTTAATAATCACGTTATAATGATTAACCAATCACTAGGGAATCTTTCTACCTGTTGAGTGAACCTAATGGTGTTTTCTAATATTAAATCCATCGATCGATATCCATGCCGTTGTTTCAGCACATCTTTCTGACTTTTAAGGGCGCAACAGGAAAAGGTTTGTTGGAAAATTGCCAATAAATTACACTCCTCATTCCAACGAAACTATTTTCTGCTAACCATTTTCTCACCAGAGATAAAGGTGATGTGAACGTTAAATTGGAATAGAATTTAGAATTTTTTTCAGGGTTTATTATCTCTTCTAAAGTACCAATTTATATCCAATAGATTCCTAATAAGTATTGACCCCAATCTCTTTTAGAGCTTTTTATTTATTATGATTAAGTTCAATGAACTTTAAACGCAATGTTTTGTCTAAAATCATTTTTTTGTCTGCCAATAGAAATAAGTCGTTTATCGTAGTTTTTTTTTCGTTTATTTGAAATCCATCATCTAACACTTGACTGGTTTCGATAACATGATAAAGTCGGATCGAGAGATTCAAGAGAAGTGTATGAGGATTCATTGTAATTTGCCAGCTTTAAATCTGCAGTTGGTGCGATCGCATCAGTTTCAAAACGACCCGCGAGACCGCCCACATTGATCGATAAACGACGCCGGCGCGTTTTTCGTTCGAGAAGGCGTCGAGACGCCGACCAGTGCCGAAACGGCAGTGGCCTCGATATCCTGCAGGAACGTGGCTGCTCCTGCTACATTTTCGCGCCCTCATTACGCTATACTGAATCCTTTAAATAATTTTCTCTTCACCTCTATCTTTCAAAGATAACAGCTGTAAAGATCTCCCTATTACTTATTTGATTTTTTAATACAAAATTTTATTTTGATAAATCTTCAGAAAAAATTTCTGGAAAAAGATGACTACTAAAGACGTCGTCCAGTTTTTTGACGCATGTCGCAAAAAGATCAAAGAAATCAAAAATAAATTGACCCAATACGATTATGCGAGGTTTTGAAAAAAAAATCGCGACTTTTTCCAGTTTCCTGGAGAAAGATTCTTCCGCGAAATATAAAATTCTCGGTGTGCTATAATCTTGAGGTGTCTAAAATAAGCTCCGAACTGAAATATGAAGGGCTTCCGCGTTTCAAATGATAATAAACACGGCGAGGTGTGAAAGAAAGAGTTCTTCTTTTTGTGAGTAAATGATTACACTTGGTAAGTATTAAATAATCTTTCCGAAATGAAGCGAAATTTATGATAATAATTTATTACTCAAGCTTGTCATGTATTATTTCTTGTCTCTTCAAGCATATTAATCTTCCCAAATGTAATAATTTAGTACTTAGAACCTACGTCAAAACAAACCAACACATTCATAATACATACCTTATAAGGGTTGTTTCATGTTTATGATCACATAAAGTATAAAATTCGTAATAACCATATTGGTAATAAAACTAAAAGTAAATGAAATTGGAGGTGAATATTACAAATTCATTTTTGATGGTGATATAACCTTGATCCTAAATTTATAACAAATTTGCCACAAAATTTGCTTGTACACTAAGTCATATTTTAGGTTCAAAAATTTTAGTTCACTTCATTATTTTACACGAAGGTTAAAAATCTNAGACAGATGTGTTGTGGTAAAAGTAAGTATTCTAGTCACATATTCTGACATGGAGAGCTGATTATTAAGGGGCCTGAGTTATGGGTGAGCAGGCGGATTTCTGCGTGTTATCAGTTTTTATCCAATCATTTTTACCCATATCTTGCTTGGCTTTTGCAGACCTCGGAGTAACCAAGAACGAGTTCTTTTCCACTCTTAACTAACATTGATGTGAGCAATTTAATTCTCACATTAACAATAGGATGTCGAATAGAATTCATTTAGAATCTTGATAATTTATTTAATATAGAACAAAATTTAATGTTAATAATCACGTTATAATGATTAACCAATCACTAGGGAATCTTTCTACCTGTTGAGTGAACCTAATGGTGTTTTCTAATATTAAATCCATCGATCGATATCCATGCCGTTGTTTCAGCACATCTTTCTGACTTTTAAGGGCGCAACAGGAAAAGGTTTGTTGGAAAATTGCCAATAAATTACACTCCTCATTCCAACGAAACTATTTTCTGCTAACCATTTTCTCACCAGAGATAAAGGTGATGTGAACGTTAAATTGGAATAGAATTTAGAATTTTTTTCAGGGTTTATTATCTCTTCTAAAGTACCAATTTATATCCAATAGATTCCTAATAAGTATTGACCCCAATCTCTTTTAGAGCTTTTTATTTATTATGATTAAGTTCAATGAACTTTAAACGCAATGTTTTGTCTAAAATCATTTTTTTGTCTGCCAATAGAAATAAGTCGTTTATCGTAGTTTTTTTTTCGTTTATTTGAAATCCATCATCTAACACTTGACTGGTTTCGATAACATGATAAAGTCGGATCGAGAGATTCAAGAGAAGTGTATGAGGATTCATTGTAATTTGCCAGCTTTAAATCTGCAGTTGGTGCGATCGCATCAGTTTCAAAACGACCCGCGAGACCGCCCACATTGATCGATAAACGACGCCGGCGCGTTTTTCGTTCGAGAAGGCGTCGAGACGCCGACCAGTGCCGAAACGGCAGTGGCCTCGATATCCTGCAGGAACGTGGCTGCTCCTGCTACATTTTCGCGCCCTCATTACGCTATACTGAATCCTTTAAATAATTTTCTCTTCACCTCTATCTTTCAAAGATAACAGCTGTAAAGATCTCCCTATTACTTATTTGATTTTTTAATACAAAATTTTATTTTGATAAATCTTCAGAAAAAATTTCTGGAAAAAGATGACTACTAAAGACGTCGTCCAGTTTTTTGACGCATGTCGCAAAAAGATCAAAGAAATCAAAAATAAATTGACCCAATACGATTATGCGAGGTTTTGAAAAAAAAATCGCGACTTTTTCCAGTTTCCTGGAGAAAGATTCTTCCGCGAAATATAAAATTCTCGGTGTGCTATAATCTTGAGGTGTCTAAAATAAGCTCCGAACTGAAATATGAAGGGCTTCCGCGTTTCAAATGATAATAAACACGGCGAGGTGTGAAAGAAAGAGTTCTTCTTTTTGTGAGTAAATGATTACACTTGGTAAGTATTAAATAATCTTTCTGAAATGAAGCGAAATTTATGATAATAATTTATTACTCAAGCTTGTCATGTATTATTTCTTGTCTCTTCAAGCATATTAATCTTCCCAAATGTAATAATTTAGTACTTAGAACCTACGTCAAAACAAACCAACACATTCATAATACATACCTTATAAGGGTTGTTTCATGTTTATGATCACATAAAGTATAAAATTCGTAATAACCATATTGGTAATAAAACTAAAAGTAAATGAAATTGGAGGTGAATATTACAAATTCATTTTTGATGGTGATATAACCTTGATCCTAAATTTATAACAAATTTGCCACAAAATTTGCTTGTACACTAAGTCATATTTTAGGTTCAAAAATTTTAGTTCACTTCATTATTTTACACGAAGGTTAAAAATCTATTATTATTTTTGACGAAATGATGCCAAAAGATTTCATTCACTTATTCAGATCATAAATCTTTAGCGATAGAAGTTTCTACATATTTTTAATATAATATTATCAATAAAGTTTATGTTTCGGATACTCATTTAATCAAAACAAAGTTTTGACTGCAACTTCGACAGCTTCACCACAAACAGTTTGGTTCATAGTGAACCTAATTATAATTTAACACAATTTCAATAATGACTTTATCCGTTTTAGACCCTCCGACCTAATAATTACGAACGATATTACCATTTTATTTCAAAATTCATTTTTAACTTAATAACGAAAACAAATTCTTTCGTTGAACGAAACGCTTTTTTATGCAAATTAAATCTTCTTCTTCTTGTTTATGGACCGTAAACAATTTGTTTTATTCTTACCCACTCAATTTGTCTACTTTAAAGTTGGATGTTGGTGTAAAAGATGGAAACTGTCTCGGAAAGCAATACACGTTCTCGATGTGGCTTTAGCTGTCATTTAGAATCAACTTTCTGTAAAGTTTCAAATTGGAAATGTTTTGAAATTCTGCACGAAATCAAATATATACGATAATAGCTAAAAAAATAGCTAAATAGAAATTGCAAATAATTATTATTAAAGTTAAAGTGAAATAGTGGAAGTAACTGAGTACAGGGATTTAAAAAGTTTTGGGATTTCCGAACACGATTTTGTGTAATCCTGAAATATACGGTGGTGTTGAGGAAATAGAACACTGATGGATTAAGCACGAAATTTGTTCAGTCCAATCGAAAAAGATGGTTCTGGAGTTGTTCTAGACTAGACGTCGCGCCTTTATTTCTTTATCTCACTTTCGAACTATGACGCATCTTCAAATTCGAGCATCTCCTTGGTTGTCCCCATTATTACTGTTCTGTTCCATTTCATCCCATCACCTCTTTAAAAAGTAATAAGTAATCCTCTCTCTATTTTCTCCCTCAAGTTCTCTCGTACAATGCTTCTATGTATTTCGTTATATTTTGATGTTAATTTTTGACAGTTTAAAATGAAGGGAAATCAGTTTAGCGATTAAATCACTTGATTGTCTAAAGAATGAACTAACATTTTAACGCCTCTCTTAATAGCAGTGATGGGCGCTGGGTAAATACCCGGCGGGTAGGTATTTATATGGGTATTTACCCCGGTCCAGGGTAAATACCCAAGCAGTACATAGAAAAGTAAAAATATAACAGATTCGGACAAAAATGTAGAGGAACATGATGAAATGGGCGTTGGAGACGAGGAATTGTCAACGATCAAAGACGTATTATAATCAGGTAACCACTGCTCAGTCTTCCTTCTTGCGACGATGATCCGCCCATTTCCATTTGAGCTTTGCCACAATGTTGACCGCATCATTTACGCCAGTTCTTCTTCGTAGGTATTCATTCTCAGGGTTACACCCAGCATCGACCTCTTCATCTTTCTTTGCGTTACTTTGAGCTTCCTGGTAATGGCCACCGTTAATGTTAAAGTTTCGGAACCGTATGTCATAACCAAAGGAGGAAGTACGCATTGATTGAAAACAAAAGCTTTCAATCAATGCGTGCTTCCTCCTTTGGTTATGACATACTGTTCCGAAACTTTAACATTATAATATAATAATAATAATAATATACAAGAATATCGCTCATGAAAATGTCTCTAAGTTTCCTGTAGGCTGCCCATGCGAGTATCATCCTTCTGTTTAGTTCGCTTGTTTGATTATTATCTCTCGATACACGAACCTCATGGCCAAGATATATCGCTGCGATGCGAACCAACTGAGATGAGTACTTTAACAGCAATAGTGGAAAAGACAAGAAGAGATAGAGTTAGGAACAAAATTGTAAGAGAATTTTGTGGAATCGGAGATGTCATGAGATTTGCTAGGGAAAAAATAAAAAAATTTAATGAATACTTCCAATGGAAGAAACCTGGCTGATTAAGACAGCAAGAGATCAAAGATTAGCTAGAAAGAGATCCCGGGAGACCAGGAAGTTGGATTTCCAGCTCTAATAAAACACCATGAATGATGCGTAAAAAACAGATTACAACCTGAATAAAAGAAGAACAATAATAAGATCTTAAACGAACTACTTAATTTTCAATTGGAAATCAACAATTTCATGGATCTTGGAATCTTGGATTTGATGGAAGTGCAATATGACTAGAAAAGAATCAAACAACAAGAATTAATGAAGCACAAAAACTGAATTTAGTTATTAATATTAGACTTATACTCAATTTAGGACATTCAAAGTTGTTTTTCAAGCATTAAAGAAATCTTCTAAAGAAACTTTCTTGAAATATATGTTATATTGAAATATATGAAATATTTGTTAGACAGTTAAGACAAAGGCACAAAGCGCACACAGCTCTATGCTGAGATGGAACAGGAAAAATAATATGTGAGAATGAAGTGACATTTAGAAAAATTATTTCCAAAACCTATGAAGCATAGAAACTGATTTGGAAATAGACAGCAGTGCATCACACCAAAGAAAGGATAGTGTCATGGAACCTAAATCAATCAGTGAGGTTCAAAACGCAATCACTACGTCAAAACATGGAAAAGCAATATTGATGTTAGAGCTTGGAACAAGATTTGTCCTAAATTTTGTTGATATTTAGCCCGACTCTTGCAAACGCCTCCTGTATATGTTCAGCATCAGTTTCATCTCTCCAACACTATCAGAAATAAGGACTATATCGTCCGTGTAGCGCAAATTACTTAGGTATTGCCATCAATGTTTATACCTTTTTGGGTCCAATCCAGTTGTTTAAATGCACTCTCCAGGACTGTGATGAACAATTTGGGTTCAACATTATATCGCCTTGTCTTATCCCATGCCCAATGGGTATTCGGTCAGTACTTTCATGCAATTTTACCGTCAATGTAGCATTCTTGTAAATGTTATAAATAAGTTTGGTGTATCGATAATGGACTCTGCATTCTTGAAGTACTTGCAAAACTGCCATCAACTCAATTGGGTAAATACCCCCGGGTATATATCCAGGGAATTTTCCCTTGAAAATAAATACCCAGGTATTTTACAACACTGCTTAATAGTAAAAGAATCAATTGTAAATTTGTTGAGAATCTTGGGTGTATGTAGATTTGAAATTTGGGTGCTGTCCAAACAACAAAACGTTTAATTCAGCGGTTGTTCAAAATATTTTCATCGAAAGATTTGTGGGGTTAACATCTAATAAGTTGCGCATGTTTATGAATCAAATTTGAAAAGATATGGACTAGCTTCATGAAATAGCAGACGCCTTGGCACTTAACTTTATGGTTCTAGTGCCGAAATTTATTGACTTCCATTACGATTTGCGCCTTTAACATTAGAATCCGACGTTTAATCCTTTTAAATCTTTTTTTGATAAAAGGAAATGTCGTTAATTTAAAAAAGTGTCTTGAACAAAAGGATTTCTGATAAAATAGGAAGGAAACTCATTGCGTTATGTACAAAGCGAGCCGGATTTAATCTCGGCGGTTTAAACCCTTGTTCAATAAAAGAAAAAAAGTGAAAAATCTATAAATGTGGGAGATGCTCAAGTGCACCGAAGCGACAAGTCAAGCGGTTTAAATAGTTTTTTAGGTGTGTGACGTTGGTTTTAACGTTCAAGTGACGTGAATGAAATGCAGGATGCGGGAGTTAGAAGCGAAACCTTGCGCTTTTCCATTTGGAATGCCATCAGAAATAACTTAAATGTATATATTTATAGAATTGTTGAATATACTTAAATTGAACGATTCCAATTTCATGTTTTGGTGCAAAATTTAATAAAAAACTAATTAAGTTAGTAATATAAAAAATAATAAATTTAAATAATTTTATTGTCATTTTTGTTTGAATTTTGTATTTTGCTTGGCAGACAAATTTTACGAAAATATTTATAGACTGTAGCAAGGTCGATTTAAACTATCTGTTGATATTCTAAATTTATAATATGAAAAGGTAAACAAACTGGAAAATATTTAGTGTTAAACTATCTTAGTTAATAAATTAAACAAAAAATTATCAGCTAATTACTAATATCCTATTTTATAATTGAAAATACCGAAAATATAAATCACGGTCGTGGCATAGTTACAAAATATTCAGCATTATTCATAATAATCGGCGAAGAGATAAACCCAATCGTAATCGTCTAATTATTTTTTATTGGCTTATCATTATGTCTAAACCAAAAACGACCGGATAGAACCAAAACCAGTCTCGCAATCATTCTCAATCACCTTGAAATGGAATCATAGAGTTACACACATTTATATGAAACCTTTTATCTAATTGTAAACTTTATATAATTTAACAATACAAGATAATATCTCCGGTCGAATATCGCAAAATGAATTACACCGTTGTTTGTTCCTTTTGCAGTGGAATGATTCTGCAAACAAGATAATATATTAATAAATTTTCTGTAATGTTCTCGATTTGTGATAAATTTATAAATTGATATTAAGTACATGATAATAAAACGTTCTTATAAATATTGTCGTCACGTACTTTAAGACTTACGCACTCGTGTTCATTATAACAAAGCGGATTATTGATCGAAACAAATAATTTATTTTTAACAAATTTATCATTTAAAGCACTTCTGTATTCGCGTGATTGAAAAATGTTAAAAATTTAATAAACTCCTTTTCGGTGCGAGTTTAAAAAGTAAGTAAATTTTAGGTGAGGGCTAATATTACATTTTATGTTAAATTTTACCTATAAAGTAAAGGAATAGTAAATGCGCTCTCAACCAACCGGAGCATATCACAAAGTTCACCGATTTTATCGTGTTGGTTTCGTAAAGAGACGTTTTAATTCTATTTGGTGAACTACCTATGAGTAGTTAGTGCGTGAACACTGTCGAGTGTGGTTCGTGGCATATTAAAAAAATTGTTCATTAAATTAATTGTAGTAGACGAGAAAACAATAAAAGTTTTTAGTGAACGTTTTTGGTTTCAATCTAAAATTAATTAAAGGAAAATTGAGAATAATTGTGAATTTAACGAATTGAAGTGTAAGTAATTTTTGCATTTGTATCTCAATAACTACACTTGTTTTTTTTTTAATTATTAGTTCATTAAAAAGTAGATGCTTTAATTGATAATTGATGATAAAATTATAAAGATGTATTATAAGATCATTTAAGCATCAATTTTTAAAGATAACCCAAGAAAACCTGATTTTATAGAAAATTTCGAATGATTTAAAAAAATTTTATCTCAAAAACTAAAAGAGATATTTGAAAGCGGTCTTCATCATTGACAAGTAGAGGGTTTAATTTATAATTGATGTCGATATCATAAAGAATTATCACGAATTAGATTTTACAGAAATTTCTTAAAATTTAGTTAAAAGTTTTATCTTTAAAACTAGACCAGATTTTTTAAAACGGATTATTCCATTAAAAAGTAGATGCTTTAATTGATAATTGATGATAAAATTATAAAGATGTATTATAAGATCATTTAAGCATCAATTTTTGAAGATAACCCAAGAAAACCTGATTTTATAGAAAATTTCGAATGATTTAAAAAAATTTTATCTCAAAAACTAAAAGAGATATTTGAAAGCGGTCTTCATCATTGACAAGTAGAGGGTTTAATTTATAATTGATGTCGATATCATAAAGAATTATCACGAATTAGATTTTACAGAAATTTCTTAAAATTTAGTTAAAAGTTTTATCTTTAAAACTAGACCAGATTTTTTAAAACGGATTATTCCATTAAAAAGTAGATGCTTTAATTGATGATAAAAACATAAAGATGTATTATAAGATCATTTAAATATCAATCTTTAAAGATAAACTTAAATCCTTAAAAAAATTTCGATTTATTTAAAAATTTGTATCTCAAAAACTAAAAGGGATTTTTAAAAACGGACTTCATCCTTGAAAATTTTGTGCGATTTTAGTTTATAATTGTATTTTAATTTTGTTTTTGATAGGCAATGTTACATATTGCATTTTTATCATTAAACGTGAATTAATAATAACAAGGTTGAATGAAAAAAATCGTACACCGGGATATTTTAGGAACGAATTATTTTTGAAGTGCTAAAACTGGACCAAATTTACTAAAAAATGGCTTTTATTGCATCTTAATATCTCAATTACTTTGACAGATAATATTCTTTTAAGGAAGGTGTTAAATGAATATGCAGAGATGTACTAAAAAAATCATAACATCCAAAATTATCGGAATAAAGAAATATTTTTTAACTGGATAAATATTAAATGAATTTGCTTTAAAATGCTTCATATTTCATGATGATATCTCAATTCATTCTTGAGATACCGTTATACAAAATTGCATCTTAATGTAATTAACCGAGTTAATTTAAAATGTCGTATTATCGAAATATATAGGAACGAAAGAATTATTTTTACTATAAAATGGTTTTTATTTCAACTTAATAGGTATCTCAATCACTTTTTGAAATCTTTTTATAAATTAGTGTGCAAAGATTTGTGTCACCCTTTTCCATTCCAATTAAAATCAATGTGTATTAGAGAGGGTTTGATTCTGTTTCGCAATGTGTTTTTGCGATCTGTGTAAGTCCCGAATTTCCGGGTTGTTCCAAATCATCTGCAGATTGTTCGAAATCACGTTTTCGATTGGTTCCTCGTCTATTTCTGACTCACTATAATATTATTACACTGCAATTTGAATCGTTTGAAGGACAATTTTAAATCTTACAAATTATTTTATAGGGCATTGTGATAAGCACAGTGGATAATAAAATAATTCGACACTAAAATTTATTTAATTAGAACTTACATTTTAAGTAGTTTAATTAAATAATAATCACTTAAATCGTTTCTATAATTCTAATTTCGTTATTTCGTGTTAAATTGTTTTAATATACGATCATTCTTTAATTTGAAAAGGATGTGGCCAGTAATATTTCTTAATTTACAAATAAGTTACAGCTTCCGAGGTCGTTAAACCTTTATTTTTTTTTTAAAACGTGCTTCATGCGGATTTTAGTTAATCTTTATTAGATGTTTTTGAGAACAATGAGCTAAAATGAATATAATTATATTGACATAATATAGTAATTAACTTGTTTTTTTCTGGAAATATTTAATCATTTTGAAATTCATTTATTTTGTTGTTTATTCAATAACCAATGTAAACGATTAATTTAAATTAAATTTAAATAACTTAATGAAGCGATGAATTAAATTAATAAAACCTGATTGATTTTTTTAATATTAGATCTATTTTTAGTTGATTTTTTAATCAATTATATTAGATCCTATGAGCAATAGAGATAATTTCATATAAAAATATCAGCACGAGCCGAAATTTGATGTTTACTTTTTGTTATTGTGTCGAAGTGGATGACTTTTTTGTGGGGTAACGCATTTTACATCATAATCGATCATAAACAACATTTTTTTAGACAATAGATACATCACGTATAAAATTAAAAAAACGTTCAGGAAGCATTTTTCATATCAATTTTTATATTCATGTCACACACGCTCTTCAACTACGAACGAGTTGCGCTATTTCTCTCTGCATAACATCCAAAGTTCACCAACATATCGACAATCTCGCGTTCTACATTTTTAACTTACCCACAGTAAACATAGCGGTTTATCTTGATCGTAAGCGTTGTTATTATTAATTATAGTAGGTTATTGATAAATTGATAAACATCTATTGAGTGCCTTAAACAAATAAATTGAATAATAAAAGTACAGTAAAATCTCGATGCAACGGATTAATATTGCGAATGG